AGAGTCTATTGACCAGATGGTTGAATTTAGCCGTGGCTTATGCCACTTGGATTTATGTTCAACCGACAGAAACATTTTAGACACATTCGAGGTTACTAATAAATGCAGTTTATTACGCCAAAACCTCTACTGTTCATCATTTTGAGTTTGGTGGAATTCAAATAGAATTCCTAAAATGAAACAATTTTTAACAGTCTTCGTTATCATATGAGGGAAATGAATCATTACCTAATAGTGGCTATTAATCCACCTTGTCAATCATAAGTGGGCCAGTTTCATGGCGTTAGTGAGCGTAATCAAATTCTGCCTGTTATTCCAACGAATAAAGCTGGCACACTCGTTGGTTATATCTGTGTCAAAATGTGGCAAAGCCACGTTGAATCACTGCGACCAACTTTAGTGGATTGCCTTTTCTTTCTGATTTGCGTGTAATTTTTTTCCTTTTCCTCCTAACAGGGTCCTAACAGGCAGGCGCTGGAAGCCTTCTGGAACTTCGCTGAACGAATTTCCTACTTACCGGAGAATATCGATTTGGTAAGTTCTAAAATTCGAGGGTCCATCAAGAGTCCCAAGCTCTTTAATATAATATTTCAGCTCATATTTATTTATTTATTTCAAAAGGCAGGCATTTTGACAGTTATCATTAGCCCTTTAGCTGACTTCAGGCTTTACAGAGGAGGAGGGGGAACATAAAAGTGACAAAAAGTCGAGAGGGGGGGGGGTACAGAATAATGATTCACAGATGTAAAAGAGACAGACAGGCACAAAGGTTGAGTAAAAGGTAAGGCGAGGTCAACTGAAAAGGTGGCCATGGTAGTTTGAAGTCAGAAGTCAACTGCCGGTTAATGGACTTTTTTGCCGTATGAATATACGTTGCCCAGGCTGCACCACGTGAAGGTAAGTCCATCACACACCCCATTTCAGCTCATACTAGGGAATCTCTAATAAATCTGTGAGGATTAGCAAGTTGGAGTTCTGTGTTCTTCAGGTTTGCCTGCAGTTACTGGAACACCTCACCATTCGGATGAGTTGTTTTCATCACTCATCAAACGTGTCATGGTGTGGAACTTTGAAAATAGCGTTAAATAGTACCCGAATCTTCTCCCAACTTAAGTGAACGTATCATCAAATCACGTGATTTGGATGTTAAAACCTAGTAGGAAATGCATCTCGCACTTGCTGGAGCACGATCACAATTAAGCGGATGTATTGTAAAGACAGTATAAACTGCGTGTAAGTCTTCACAAGTCTTCAGAATCGTCTTTCCTGCCTCTCATGAAAATAGCTATTTAGACCGTGCTTCCTATAAGGCACACTCAGAGCAGTTCTTTGCTCCTCTTCTGGAAACAATTGAATAAATGAGTCAAGATATGTAGTCAATAGAACGCTCTATCTTTACTCATCAATACACTTCATTAACATGAAGCTTTTTTATCAAATGATGATTTTTTTGAAAGCATATGACTGATTTTGACCAAGGTTCATAATGATTTCAATACCGATTTCTTGGTTTAGAGGTCAGAGTTCAAGAGAGTGATATTTATTGATGCACATGGAGTAAGTTGAATGGTCACTTCTTTTGTGTATACTTCTAGTAAATAGTGCTGATGAAGATGGCCTCCATAACTTTGAAAGAGAAGTTTTAACTCCGTACGAAATAATGGCGAGCATTACTAATCGCCAATGTACCTTTATACCAATTTGTATACTTTGTCCTTCGACGTGTTTCATTAAACGATACCTCTTCACAAATGAGTTTCTCCGCAGGGCCGGTATTTCGCAATATCTTCCTGTTTGTATAGACGTAGATTTATCAATGTTCTTTTCTTTGACTATTGCCACAGATCACAGAAGAGAATTATGGTCATCAAAAAGTTCGCTGGTTTGCAGAAAAACAAATTGAATTCCAAAAATTGACGATCTGGAGGAAAAATCGTGTTAAAACACGTTGTGTTTAAATGTAATAAAAGAGTCATAGTATTCTAACAGGTGTCCTTTCCTCCTTCAATAAGTCTAAGCTGTGTGCTCATGTTTTGGCAGTTCCCTTCAGCGCCTATTGTACTCTCACCGGTTTTCTTGAGCGTGTGGATGAAATCAGAAGGTCCTGCAATAGTTGGCTGACATCTTATTTCTTTGGGTAAAGGGTGAATGAAATATAAGTTTGGAAAAGAAAGAAGACAAGTATCGAATGAAAGTCTCCAACGTACTCATGTGTAGTGGTGAATGCTTTTCTGTCCTCTTACCAATAGTCATTATGCTTGATCCCATTGTCATAGCAATTCTATTGTCATTAATTTTATTGATCTTGGGTCTCGGACTAATTCTTTGTACTGATGTCAATCGCTGCTTCAATTAATCTAAATTCAGCGAATTCGGAAGTGGTATTTGAGAGGAGAAAGGAGACGCTATAGAGAATGAAAGTTACTGCTCAACTAACCAATGCAGAGTGGATGGTGTTTTCTATAGTTCTCATTCTTTGAAATATTGTCCATTTCATATGGAAGGCCACACTTGGCAGCAAACCTTCTTTCTGGTGACGTGCTTTTCCTTTCCCCTGTAATTGCTTCAGCCAGAATTTCTTAAACCCTCCCTGGTGATCCTCTGTGGAGAAGTAGAAGAGGAAGAAGACGTCGCATGACTGGTATGATAAGAATCTTACCAATGATCACCCAGTGAATTGGTGTTGTAAGCAAGGGTAGATTGAAGTTAATGAACACAAAGATGATGCACCGAAAGCTGAAGTAATTGTGCAAGTGTAGTTTGGCAACGGAAATCAGATGTTTTGGTCTATACTTTCAAGTCATATTTGGGGACGTACGGTTATAATGCAAATTACGAAGTTAAGTCTAAAAAGTGAAAAGATATTGCGTATTGAAAATACTAGGCAGTGTTATGGTAAACAGAGAGAGAGAGTTCCAAACGATTATTTCGTCATTACTTTGAAATTATTGTGGAATTTGATCAGCTAAAAGTCAAATGGTCATCACTGTTTAATGGAAATACTTTTGAATCTTTTTTGAAAAAGCAATGGACAACTGTGTCATATCCTAACCGATTTTCGTAAATCGTAAGATGTTGATTCGAACGGAATGGCCGCTACATGTTTGGTGGCGAATTCTGCAATTTTATCCACTCAGGTGTAATCTATTTAAATCTGCTTACCTTTACATTAATATACATAATAATTGGCTTGGACAATTCATCGCCTGTATAAGGGAAGCCATGCCAACTATTTGCGGAACGATTCACAATCAATTCGGGCTAAATATGCCATTCGCAATCTACAATAATTCGTTCTTCATCAGAAATTAGCATACTGGTGAACATGCGCGCAGTTATGTTGGTATTTGCTCTACGTTTGTAGCCTAGAAATAGTAATAATGTGATTGATGAAGAATTTTATCATTTTTTTGTCGGGAGAATACCATAAAAATACTTGCTAAGGATCCTCCTCCTCCCTCCCCGCCCCCTCTCTGATTTTAATCGTCGTTATTTGGAGTCGAAGTTATTGCACTTGCGAATCCATCTAAGCGAGTTTATATTATCCACATTCCCTAATCTAGCACTTCATTTTAACTCCCCTTTAAAGTTGGCATATTGGATGTCTTATTAGAAGGCCTAGACCTTAGCTAAGTAACGTATCATAAGGTAATCATCCAAAATGAACCCGAAGAAATGCATCATAGTCATTTTCCTATTTGCTCTTAAAGCATATTTGCATTGTTATGGCGCAGAGCCGACGCAGAATTTCTGAGCAAATAGTCCAATGACGCGGTTTATGTGCTCTCATCTCAAGTCACACCCAACCACACACACACACACACTGGGATATTTGAGTTGTTCTTTTTTACTAGCCCATCTAAAGTTCTTCCCCTCCGATAGATTGAAGAATAGTCGAAGCTAAGTCTACTTTCTCTTAGCGGATTTCGATAATTGCCTTCTTATGGGCATTTCATAAAAATGCAAGAATTTTTACTAATCGATCTGATTTCTCACCTTGAGCCACTTCTCCACTGCCAATTTGTATAAAAAAGGTTTTATTCAAAATATCTTGTTCAAAATTTTTGTGAATGACTCTATTTGTACCCATGCAACCTTCTTCATTTTAATCTGCTACTGATTAATATGTTTTGATTGCTTTCATCTTTACATTTGACTGCTTGAAGTTCGAGTTTTAGTGGTTTCTTATAATTATGATTCCAACTTATGTTTACATTTTACGCCATCCTGATGTGCTCAACAGGTATTACAATTTGCTGGTCTAGTTTTTTCCTGTCATTATCCTTATTTGCATAGCTATCACCAAGTTGCAGTTAATTTATACACGTAGGGAAAAATTACTGGATCACCCTATTAGGGTGAAGCTCCTCTTATCACCGGTTGTTTACTTCGAGCTTATTGTTTCTAGACTGCCAAAATGTTAAATTGGTGTATATTTTTGCCTGTCGATGAGGTGTGCAGGCGCTCTGGAGACCACCTCCGGAAAAAGATTTGATCATCCGGAGATGAAGTTTTCATTCTGTAATCCAGTGTCGTGTTCATTGACCAAGAACCTATCTGATATCTTGAGAATGGGACATTCTTTCCCTTCTCTGGACGCACAGTTAACGTAGGAGTCAACCTGGTGAATAAAGAAGTATGATATCACTGCTTCAACATCTGTACATAGTGTTAAAAACATGATTAAATGCAGGGTTTTTTAAAGCTGTTATATCAGAAAGCTCTCAGCAGATTTGTCTTCAACCAAACTCTTCTCTCTAACAGGCTTAGCATTTGACCCTGAGATGTGTTCCACAAAACATCTATAGTTGCTGAAGATTCAGTTATGACGACTTGTCAGAGTCTAGTGGTGCCATTTCATTAAACTTGAGCTCGGGAAATGATAAGTGAGCCAATTGGCAACAGTTGAGTGCTTTATAACTATCAAATGGAACATCTAATTAACTGAATTTATATTTTTTGCTAAGAAGTGCTCAAACACGCTTTAGCACAGAACGTGAATGACTCTTAGTAAAGTGAATGTAAATTACCAAGTGAATATTTTGTCTGCAAGGGAGAAGATGGACTGGCGCCGACACCGCCTTTTAACTTCATAACGCCTTCGAAGCTCATGATCGATTTGCGAACCTACGACAACCAGTTGTTGGAACGCTGCCTCGCTGTAATAAATCAACTTCGACAGGAAGTTCATGACAATTGGTTTGAGGATTTCAAGAACAGCCTCTATATCGATCTCAAACGTGAGTTACTTATCCAAATGCGTTTACCCTTCTAAGCAATAAAGCTTTCCTAGAATATTATTGAGAATTTAAGGCTATTTTATCTTTTTTAACGATAATTCTTGTGTTTCAAATGAGAATTGACGCTTACCTAATGCTATTTGTTGCATGAATTCATTTTGTGAGAAAATGTTTTCAATCCGGATTCATGAATAATCGATTTGTTCAACAGAGTTTACTTCAGTCTTGGAAATTGGAATAATATTAGAGGTCAACTACCACATATATATCTCTCTTCCTATTTGTGTTTAAAACTTTTCTAAACTTGTGAGCTGTTTGCACTTGTGTATTTATCGTTAACTTCGATGATTTTTCAGCCTATGCCTTGTTGCGTGCAGCGCTCGGCTCAGCTAGAGATCCTTTGATCTAATATGATTGCCCAGAAGTGAAATTGTGATGCGAATGATTTAATAACACCCTTACTTCAGTCAACAGCTTTGACTTGCCAATGTGGCTCGTAGGCTCTTGTATAAGTTGAATTTTCAAGGGTATCTTTTGTCACCTTATTCAAGAAGCAGTATGTCAATCTATGCCGGTAGTTGTTCATCAGTTATACAGTTGCTCTATAAACACATAGGCACTTTTCCAATGTATCCGGGCGTTGTAAGACCAATGTTTATCGATCCGCATCCATTGAATGTTGTGGTAGAATGCGATTTCTTCATAAGATCATGGCCTTTCTAGGGCAGACTTTAAAAGGTTAAGGTGTAGAGTACTGCGTTTACGGGGGGATGCAATTTCATGAATTTAGCTGCATTAGAGTAGTCTAAAAATTGTTCTTTTACTAGATCTCAAATAGTGTTGTCTTATTAAGAAGAGTTTCAGTCATATCTCTTCCTATTTTCTATATGCCTAGTTGAGTTACTGGCAGAAAAATTGACGTGAATGAATTCACACATATTATTTTCCTATTTAGGTGCTGGAAAACCAAATGACGAGATTAAAAATGTAAGTTCTTACTAATCTCCTTACCTGCCCATTTTAACTCTAATTTTTTGGCACATTTATAAAAATTTTCCACCGATATTGCCATTCAAACTGCCAATTTCCTTATTCGATCTAATGGCGAACTTTAATTAATGCTTTTCCCTAGTTGTCCATGACATTGTTTAGTTGCAAATACAGCTTAACGCAGGGCGTTATCTCTTGCGGTTGCCAAAATTATTTTAGCGGTTAATGTCAATTGTCATGATGGATGCTGACTAGGAGTCTAGGGTGTTTGCTTGTTTTGTTGTTTTGATAAGCAAAGTTCTTTGCTGTGCTTAAATCAAAAAGAACAGTTAAATATTTATTTATTTATACGCATGTGTGGAATGATAAGTTGTTGGCAATTGACAAAACAGTAAAATAAGTTTTCATTTTCTGGAAAGGGAAGCGGGAAATTTATTTATTTATTTCAAATGGCAGGGGTTTTGATAGCTATCATTAGCCATTTAGCTGACTTCAGGCTTCACAGAGGGGAGGAGGAACATCAAAGTAGCAGAAAGTCGAGGGGTGGGGAACAGACGAGCGATTCACAGATGTAAAAGAGGCAGACAGACACAAAGGCAGAGAAAAAGGTAAGGTGAGTTCTGTGGAAGGGGTCGAATATGACAACCAGGGGGGTCGTGGTAATTTGAAGTCAGAAGTCAAATGCCGGTTAATAGACTTTTTTGCCGTATGAGTATACGTTGCCCAGGGTGCACCACGTGGAGGTAAGTCTATCGCGGGAAATTGGTAATCGGTGTTCCCTTACAAACAGTGCACGACTTTTACTAATTTACTATCTAATACGGGCATGTTAGTAGGTGGGATGTGCGTTGGTGGTGCATGAGTTGGACTTATGTGTCTTAGAAAATAGCGGTGACGTGTTCGATTCCCTCCGGGTGAGGCTGAACGTGAGCTGAACGACCAGCCGCGTTGGTTATTGAAAGAGAATTCATGAATTGAATCCTTGTGTGTCTTAAACGATAGCCGCTCATCAATAAAATAAAATCTACGACTGAAAGTAGTGGCTTATTATGTTAAAATTTCTTGTTGGTACTGTGGCAGTGTACTCGTTTTCGGACCAGAATACGTTTCTAAATATAGATTACCTTTTATAATTTCTAGAAAATGCTTGTTTCCAACAATATGCTCCATCCTTTTAAATTGAAATATTTCGATCGCTGCGTTAGTCGTTAACCCCCGAAGTTTGAGGCATTTGACTGGGGCAGAAACGCATGACTACCAAATTTCTTTTTGACTGCAATTATAGTCGCATAAAGGGAGCTCGCATACGTCATGCTTTTTTACCGCACTATTAAACTTGGTTTAAAGCCAGTCTCACTCAATATTGACTTAGTTTGGGGGTGGGTTTTCGAGGGGGGGGGGCATGCATTTTTTGTGTTGTCAGTGTATTTTTTGCTCATTTTAATAGGGGGGGGGCGCTAAATAAGCGGTTATCCATCATTGTACACAATTAAATGAATAGGACTAACAATGGTTCCTCTAAGCGAGCACATAACATTTAGGTGGGCAATAAAATGATGCTTTATGTGGCTAATATCACATAATTTCACTCAGTCATCGCGTTTTTCTGAGTAATCAGTTCTCTTTCAGTAGTTCAAAAGGAGGAAGACCACATTGACTTCTTGATGATGAAGGCCATGGACGTAGATGCGTAACTACAAATGAACAAACTCGATTCGGTCTTACTGAGGGTAGAATGGAATTGACCTAAGTCTTTAATATAGGAAATATCGAAAGCATTAGCTGGGGTTGATGGCTCTTCTTTCCATAAGGAAAAACACTTCATTTATTGGGGTTTATTGTGACCATTCAATTGACCCTCATGGTAAATGGATGGAATTAATATTGCTTTGTCGTTTTCTAGAGCAAAAGGTTTGCATTTGTTAGATAGTCTTAATCATGCAACAAAGTTGGCTGGTTATTGGGGATAGCATGTGCTGACCTATATAAATGTAGAAGAAATTGGGCTGTGGTACCACACCAATCTATAGAGTTATGTAGTTGTTAGTTGGCCTAAAATAGGAAGTACTTTTCATTCTGTTAAGCCTAACGAACTGGAGAGAATCAGAACCACTCACCAGTGAAACAAATGAAATCCAATTTTTATGATGATGATGATGATGATGACGACGAAAATGGTGGAAAATGTTCGCTTTTGTAATGGGACTATCAGCTTTTATATTCAAGTGCTGTATGCTGTTTAATACTACAGAAAAATAACTTGCTTTGGCTCATCTTGAAAGTTAAGGAAGAATATTTCCTCAGTGTAATAATGCATAGAAGAATCATGCCAAATAGTCAAGTTCTCTCGCGTTCCCAGTGGCAGTCACTTGGGTTGTGCATGTGAATGCCCTCTATAAATGCCATTTTCTAATATGTTTGCCATTGCCACTGACATTCTTGAGAAAATAGCACCTGTTGTCAAGTACACCCTGCGTGACTACCGGTTTGGGCATAGGGCGCTTGTGGTACTAATTAATGTATGTATTTTTTTTTCATCAAGGTAATTTGTGCTCGAGGCCTGAAGGAATACGCCAGTCGACTGTTTGAAGCGATGCGTACCAACGAAGATCTTCATGCTATCAACCCAACAATTGGTAACTACGCGACATTCATATAAAGCCCCCCCCCCCTAAAAAATTTAGTTTCAAGTTTTAAATACTTGAATTGAAAAGGAAAGCATGGGATATTCACAAAAGGATAAAGAGAGGTGGTCGAATTCTGGTTGTTAAAAGGAGCTTCACTTCTTTTAATTTATTGACCTATGGCGTGCCTGTGGAATCTCCTATTCGCAGCTCCAAGATCCACTATTCAAATGCAAAGATCAATTCCTGTTTTTACACTAAACTATGAAATCTGCACCTTTGCAATAATTTGTCCTCAACCAATTGTTAATTGATAAAATGAGCTAAACTGCGCGGTTTTTACCTTTGTGTAAAGCCTTTCTTTGGGGCATTTTCACATGGTTAATAGTTCCGGTATTTGAGACTGCTTTGAATGGCTTTTTTCAGTCTATAACAAATACGTTCAGCTAAAAGGACTTAACTCTAATGCTCGTTTATTTGTGGAAATGGGTTCATGCTTCATCCGGTATTCGTTGATTCAATAATATATAATATAATAATTTAGAAAAAATATTTGAAGGCTCTAACCACTGGGGTGAGGTCAGTAAAGGTCAAAATAGTGAGGACCAAAAGGCTTCTACTTCAGTTAGATTTCGCATTTTGGGCAATGTAAAACGTAAGAGCCTAGCATTCCGAAATTCTAATTTCTGTTACTGTGAGATGTTTAGTACTTACTAACCTGTTGTTTAATTGGTTTATGGCTGACCTTGCTACTTTAATTAATTTTTTCCCCAAAAGATCAAAAGGTAGAATTTGCTCACGTGGTCTAAACCTAAGACAATTGGCAATAGTAAGCTCTATTACGATTCAATAAGGACACGGCGGGGCTTCTCAAGACCGTTTCAGACCTCTTTAACCAAATGAGAAATATCCTTTTACATGCATGGAATACAAAACCACCCAGTGTGATTATGCCTACTTTGTCTACATACTTGGCCCACCAAATCGTGACAATGTAGTCAATTGCTAGCTGTTTACTTCTGTGAATTAAGTGGATTGCACCGCTTCGACTAGACCTACTCAGAGAAAATTTTTGAATTGCCTCGAGGCATAAGCCGTAAAATTAGGAAAAGTTCACGCACTAGATGCTGGGAGTAGGTGGAAAACAAGCCCAGTTATTATCAACACTCAACCTATCTTCACCCGCGGAGTTATTTTCCCTTGTTTCAATGAATAGCTGTTTTTCAAATATTGGCTTGTTCTTTTTTAACATTTTTTTCCGCTTCAAAGTTTGCCACTATTTGAGCACAAACTTATTTTGACACAAAAATTTAATTGATGTATGTAAAGAATTTCAATGCGTTCTGCTGCCGGTTGCAGTCGTGTGAATGCTTTCGACCAAATTTTGCTTCGAAGACCTTTACTATGGAGAAGAGGATTTAAAGAATTCGTTAAGGTCTAGGAAGGGTGAAATGGAACAAGTATTCAAAGCACATGTTGATTAAAATATTCCATTTTTATTTATTATGCAATATTGGTGGTAATTTGGCTGTCAATCTATGGATTAGGTGCAATTTTTTGAATGGTTTATACATCTTTAAAGTAATGATAAAATACCTTTCTTCCTAAGGTTATTCGCATCAATTTCTTTCATTCCTGAAGGTTGTAGCACAGTCAGCCTAAATTTTCTCCAACTGATTAAACAGTGCATATTTTAAGGTGGGTAAATAAGGCGTTGAGCGCAAATTTGGCATTAATGCTATTGACTTGGCAGGCCACACTATGAAAAGTTGACGAAGCGTAAACTTTATTATGAAAAATGAATACACGGCTGGATAAACGCAGGAATCTACCGCTGATGTAGATAATATTTTGCAAACCCAACATCTGTAATTTCGGTGCTTATGGATTCAAAATTCGCCGGAACACATCCAATATGTGACATATTCAAACCGTTTTGTTTAAGATAATTCAAGAATAATGTACCGAAGTACGAAGTTTTGTCAGACAGGCTAGAATGTCGAATATATTTCCGGAGAACGCCTCTCCAACCTAGTTCTATCTGCTCTTGTATATTTTTTTTAAAATTGATCGTATTTACTTTCAGCGGAGGCGTTAATACAAGAAGCCACCTTCAGCCTTGCAGTAACTGAATCGAAGGCTGATCTCTGTGACTCCTGGTTAGCACATGAAGTGACCACAGAGGCTCGACTCCAACGTGACCACCCAATCCTCTGGTGCATCCTTCCCTGGCGCAAGCAACAACTGTCTAAGATCAAGGAGGCTTTTATGCAGGTAGTCGACTATTCCTTTCCTTTTTAATGGCTTGTTTGTTTTGGCGGGTTTTTCACTCAGATATTTGAAGACCGGTAGTTGAAAACAGCGGAGTTGCGAAATCAAACGGACATAAGCGAGGGAGTGATGACTCGATAGCTGACCCCCAGGGGTTCTATTAAGTAACCTAATTGTCGTAACTTTAATCAGTAGAGTCAATATTTCCCTTGAAAATCGAAATTTAACAAAAAACTTTGAAAATTTATAAAAAAATATGGTAGAGTATTGATGAATTGGAACTTATCCTCGAGGATAAGGCTGGAACTGATTTAATTATTTCCCTATTAACATCAAGGGGAATATGAATTAATGATGAGGAAACAGGGACACTTCTTATGATGTTGATAGAGCGCTTTTCTAATGGTATGAACGAAGAAGAAATTGAAACATCGAATATTTTTCTTATTCGAACCATCTTCAGTAGCTATAGCTCTACAAATTCGTGAATTCAATTCTGATCTAGAAGTAGATTAAAATTTTAATAGCTGGTTTGGAAGGAGTGATGCTATTGCCCAAGGTGGCGTGAACACTTTCTGATCCACAATTTGACGCAACAGTCTTTGGTCACTTCTTTTCATTTAGAGGAATCTTCCTGACTGCAAAATGCTTCAATTGTCGTTCTCACTGAAGAGCAAACTGTAGATTGGATGATCTATGCTTACCGCAACAATGCTATCTTTTTCAATTTTGCTATACTTCGTCCATTTCGAGGAGTCTTTTCAAGTATCTATTTTTTATGTGTTCTTTAAGAATTTTGTCAAACTGGAGTCTTTTGAATACTGAGAATGTTTGAAACAAATGATAAAATTACATTAGCGGATATTGTCACTAAATGAAGAACATTGGACGTCATGAATTAGTAGGAATCTGATGAGAGCAATTATTCATTTTGAATTCCCACGTAAATTGTGTTCGAGGATGTTTCCAGTTGGCAGATCTGTAGTTTCTCACCAACTCCGTATTAGCTGGAGGCAGTTGCAATGCTTATGATGAATTCTTCTGAATTCTAATAAATACAAGCGAAATGTTATAGCAATAAAATATAAAGTAATTAGTCTTTCATACTGTAACTTCGCTTTGCTCAGACGACTTCAAATCTGCTATTTTCCCCATCTCAAAGTTACACATAAAAGGAGGAGGAGGAGGAGGAAGAGGAGACTCGTATGATGTCCTCTCTTTAAAAAAGCGGGCGCATGCTTTATTTACTTGTAAATGACAGTCCATTGGTTGTCAGGCAAACCCTCTTCCCCCCCCCCCTCCCCCTCCTCTTTCCCTTATTACGCACGAATTTCGCTGTCTCCGTCCAATGTTGTTGCAGAAGACGCGATCGTCTTCCCAGAACATTTTCGCATTTCCAATGAAAGCTCCAGTAGGCAGATAACTACACAAAGAGCAAAATGAGAAGTGAAGTAGCGAGCGAAAGAAAATAACGGCCCCAGTTCATTCCATTAAATCTTACGATGCTCTGAGTTAGAAATATGGTCACTGGTGGTAATAATTTTAAACCAGATCGCCTCTAAATGCATGATTTTAATTAACGCTGTCGACTGGAAGTAATGCTTAGGGGCCAATTGGATAGATTATTAGGAAAAAACCGACCAAGTTTCACACCTAGTGAAACACTTCTAAGGAAATAGTCATTTTTGCTTGCGTCATGCCTGTTGAACGAAGAGTAACAGGAGAGAAATCAGATTTTGCTAGAAGAGAGTTAGTTAAAATATTATTTCACTGAAGAG